CCTGAACCAGCATAACGCTGGATTTCTCCTGGTACCTTCTGTGTCCGAACTGGGCAATGGCCCAGCTTAAGTAGTGCTGGGCCAGGACTGAAAACCCACGGCCTGCGTTCTGGACCGTGCAGATCGAAACTCYGATCCACGGTCCAGATCGCAGGCTTCGAAAACTGGTTCAGTCCTTGGCCTAAAACGGCCTGCCTGGGTCCCTACCGGACGTCCAGGCCCTGTCCAGGATTAATCTTCCTGGTAYCTGGCTTCAAACCGGTCCTGTGCGGACGTACCCGGCTTCAACGTCGGCCTGGGTTCGAACAGGTCAAAATCTGTTYGAAAACAAAAGAAAAGGTCCAAACGTTTTTAGGAGCTCAGCCTCTGGGCCTGAATCTGGCCCTGGCCCTAGAATACAACGTACTGCAATCAGACTCGCTTTCTTTTCCACTTCGCACTCATGCAAACAGATGGTGAATCACACTGGCGCACAATGCCCACTCAAAGCTCAAAGATATGGAAGTCGAAGACACAGTTCAGATACAGACTCGCTTCAATAGGCTATGGCGCATCAGCGCCTGTACACCCCAACTCTCGTCTCTCTGTCCAACACCACTGTTCGCACTCACTCAACTCTGCATCACCCTGGATATCCCACACTCATACACACTCACACACACTACCACTAACACACTCGCCTATCAGCTATGGCGGCTATGGCCGCTGTCCTTCACTGGCTATGGCTAACTATCTCCTTCAGCCCACTTCGTCTTCGGGCGCTCTGCAGACCACCTCGCACAAGTCGCTCAGGCAGCGCTTCCGCATGGGTTACGCAGGAATGAATGAATGGCTGGGCGCTGCCTCTTGATTTATACTTCTGTAACTCGTTGGTCTGCCTCTTTCCACCGGGCCCATGGTGCACACAGTCCCTCATGGTACTTGCTTGACCGGACTGTGACTGACTGGGACCGGTACCGCTGACTGCATGGGTTTGCACTGCCAACTCGATGCAGTCACACTGCCGACGTAACGCAGTTGGGCTCACCACTTGCCCACTTGCTTCTGTCCAAACGTGAGACAACTTCAAAAGGCCACTTCCGGACCTTTCGGAAGTCTGTGGGCTTGGCCTTTTGAACACTGTAGCGGCTACGACCTTGACCTTTCAGGACTGTAGCAGCTACGACCTTGACCTCTCACTACAGCTACGACCTCTGCTACAAAATTGACCCCTTCTCGACAGGACTATAGTTCAAGACCCGATGACTACACTGGCCTACGATGGACAACAGCAGACTCCTAAGACGCAGGTCATGGGTTCAAACACACAGGGTTACTGTACACAGGTGAGTGAGGTCTAGGGATCGAGCCCTGGGATCTGTATCCGCTACTGCGGAGGTGAAAACCGTTTCAGTACGGTCATTATAGCTGTATCTAGGCCGGAAGATGCCTCAAATACAGCTATAATGACCGTACGTTGTATTCGGGGAAAGAAGGTAGTTAGATCCTGAATACTAACCAGCAAAACGCTGGGATAAAAGAGAGTGGTACATCCTTCTCTTGGGAAGTAATCAATGCCGTCCAAAAGAGCGTGGCCACTGTCGGCCTGGGTTGCATGGATTGACGAGTGAAGCTGTGTATTGCCTCTAGTCTGCTGCCATGTGACAGACTGGCAAGACCAGTCCGGCTGTAGGCTGTGGAATCACCGTATCCAGTCTGCACAGTTACCGTCTCTGTGTTGAGTGGTGTGGCACAGGAAGAAATCACAAGCAACATGACTTCTGCATACTACTGTCTTCGCCCGAATAGAATGCACGGCCGTATTTGGAGCAACTTTTCGTCTAGATTCAGCGATAATGACAGTGTGTTCTATTCTGGTAAAGACAGTAGGAACACAGAGGCGTGGCCATTGCAGTTACATAGGCACTCTAATTCCAGCCCCTCTATATGAACAGGACGTGCCATAAGAGGGTGGCGCGTATGAGCGTACAGCAGACTGGAATTGGAAGTTTGGAAGTAATGCGCATGGCACAGGGAATACTGATCACATGCTAACTTAGCGTCAGCTCGGGCATCTTTTCAGGCTCGTACTCGGTGCTACCGACGTGGTCCGTCTGCGGATAGATGATGATAGGGTTGGATCCAAAGTAAGGATGTTCAGCTGTTGCAATACCTGATCTGCAACTGATCCAAAGTAAGGATGTTAAGCTGTTGCAATACAGGATCTGCATCTGAGCGTCACCTCGGGCATCTTTTCAGGCTCGTACTTGGTGCTAGTGATGTGGCCCGTCTGCAGATAGATGATGATAGGGTTGGATCCAAAGTGAGGATGTTCAGCTGATGCAATACCTGATCTGCAACTGAGAGTCAGCTTGGTGATCTTTTCAGGCTCGTACTTGGTGCTACCGATGTGGTCCGTCTGCGGATAGATGATGATAGGGTTGGATCCAAAGTAAGGATGTTCAGCTGTTGC